ATGCCTTCTTGCCCCAACTAGCTCATCTGTGATATGGGGGTGCACATACATGGTCTTTAACTCACTGAGTTGTCAAGAGGGTGAACCCATTCTGTACCAGGAAAGGTGCATAGCACACTAAATGTGCTAAACAAAGGCTGCTTTCCAGGACCACAATCCCTGTATTAGTATTTTTGTCACTGCTCATCATCATCATTAGCTTAGGAACATAATCTCTATTTTATTCCAGTTTTCAAAACTGAGGGGAGTGGACCTGGAAGTGAGTCTGTGCAAAGTAGGACAGCGCCCCCTTGAGCATAAGACACAGAGAGCATAAGTCTGTGCAGAAACTGCAGAGCCCTTCCCCCTTAGATATCTTGGTCTGCTTTGTCAAATCCATTCAGACCCTAAGGTGCCAGTCAGTCAGTGCTCAGGTTACCTACATTTATATTACCTCTGTCCTGTCACAGCCCTCTGTAGGTCAAGTTCTCAAGCACCAAACAGCCCACTTCCAGGTAAATCTCATTGGAGTGCAAACTCCTGCCCTCTGTCATTAAAGCTCAGTTCCCAGGAGGAAGGAGTCAGAATTCTGATATGCATACACGTTTTTAAAAGTCCCTGTGATCCCAATCGAAATGGGTCAGCAGGTAATCACACCTGGTGCCAAGACTGATACAAGCCAGTTTCCATCTCCGGGACCCATATGGTACAAGGAGAGAACCAACTCCCAAGAAGTTGCCCCCTGACTTATGTACGTGTCTTCTCTAGTAACCCCACTCTGAGGATTGAGAAGACCATTTACAAATAAATAAATAAATAAATAAATAAATAAATAAATAAATAAAAAAAAAAAAGTACCTGAGAGTAACTAGTAAGGGCACTCCTATGCCCTCTGCTTGCTTGCGCACTGCGTTTCCAATGATCCCTTTCACTCTGACTCCCACATACAGTAAACTTCCAGTGTGTGCTGATTCAATAAATGTGTGTGAGAAGGTGAAGACACCCAGAATCACATGATATAAGAGGGAGGTGCAACAAACAGTCACCTGGCTGCAAAGTCACACATGGCCTATGATGCTCAAAGCATCTCCAATGACTGACAATCCTAAGGGATGCAACAGTCTGTCTGGTGACAGTCCTAAGGGGCTGCAATGGGCTGTCAGGTGACAGTCCTAAGGGGCTGCAATGGGTTGTCTGGTGATGGTCCTAAAGGGCTGCAATAGACTGTCTGGTGACAGTCCTAAGGGGATGCAATGGGCTGTCTGGTTTTAAAAAAAAATTCACTAAAGAAAAAGAAATGGCAGCAATAGAAAACACACAAAGACCCAGCTGCCCCAAACATGAATAGCCTGGCAGGGCGATCTCTCCAGGGCTCTCTGAGAATACAGATCAGGGGGACTCAGGACATCTGAGATGAGCAAGGGACTCAGTGATGCTAACCTTCACCCATTCTCAACTCCCCTCCCCTCTGATTCTTCCTGCCTCTTTCCCTTCCCAAAGTTATGCAAGTACATCTCGGGAGCTATTAGGAAAAAAGAAGCAGTTCTGTGTGAGGGCAGAGGGTCCCAAACCCTGGCCCTGCAGCTGGGCTGGCGTCACATTATGCTCATTATTCCTGGGACTGTTGAGTCGGAGAGAGAGTTCCTTCTGCAGCTGGCATCTTGTGAGCGGAGTTACTCACTGACAAGGAGCACAGAGGAAACACTGGACTCCGTTCTTAAAGATGACGGGGTGGGGGAGGGATAAGAAGGGGGAAGTTTGGGGATTTTTAAACAGAAATATCAGAATTTCCGAGAGCTAACTTTTAAAAAAATAAACAAAAGAATATGACTTTGAAAACAAGCATGGCATTGTTCTTGAAAAGGGGAGGGGGCAATTCCAGGATATCGACAGTTAAAATTTGGGGTATTAAGTCAATATCATTCAGTTGGAGAATCACATGTTGAGGGCTTTCTTCCGAAAGATAGAAAGGTCAGATGAAATGGGCATGCTCAGGGACCTGCAGAGCTGTTGGCCCTGACCCCTGATTCCAAGAGTGCCAATATCTGAGCCTTGAATTTCCACCAAGTCTAGGGATGCAGACTTCGTGTGGTTCTTCCGTGGGTCTAATGGGATGGTTTTCACCTGGCTATAGAATCTCTTCCCTGAGTTCAGCTGAAATCACAGCTGAGTCCCTTTCATCCAGCTGACTACACACACTAACACTGTTAGCCCCCCTGTAATATCCTCACCTGAAATCTTCTTCTTCCCAATCTCTTTTTAAAAATTAGTTATGTGTATATGTGTATATGCATTGCCTCTGTGAGTGAAGTATCTGTGGATGCCCGGAGAGGGTGTCAGATCCCCCAGAGCAGTGGTTCTCAGCCTTCCTCGTGTGGTGACCCTTTAATACAGTTCCTCACACTGGGGTGACCCCCTCAACATAAAATTATTTTCGTTGCTATTTCATAGCTGTAACTTGCTACTATCATGAATAACAATGTAAAATATCTGCTATGTAGGATGTCTGATATGCTATGTGACCCCTGTGAAAGTGTCATTCAGCTCCCCAGAGGGGTCACGACCTACAGGTTGAAAAACACTCCTCTAGAGCTGGAGTTACAGGTGGTTGTTAGCCACCTGAAATGGGTGCTGAAAAATTAACTCTGCTCCATGCAAAAAACAATAAGTGCTCTTGAACCACAGAACCATCTCCCTATCTCCTCACCTCCTCATCTCCTCATCCTCCCAGGTCCCCAGAACCTCAGATCCCCAATATCCTTTTAGAAGTAAACTAATGAGCACAGCTTTAGGGCAGTACATATACATGGGGGAAAAAGATGAGTATTGAACGTTATACACTCTCCAGGAAAATGAATGTTTTACATTTTTATTCCCTTATTCCCCTAGAAAATGCCCCACCTCTCCTCCCCCTTGTCTCTCCCTCCCCCTGCCCCCACACACTTTCTTGTGTGAATGAGGTTGCTATGACTTCTTCTGTTTTGTTTTCAATCCAGGGTCTCACTATGTTGCTCTAGCTATCCTGGAACTCATCATGAAGACCGGCTGACATCAAACTCTGAGAGACCCACCTGCTTTTGCCTCCCAAGTGATGGGATTGAAAGAGTGTGCCACTATATCACTTTCATTCTGTAACATTTATTTAACTCTTGCATTTTAAGTGCACACTGTAGATTCCATCAAACTAAGATGTCCTCCTTACATTTGTCCCTAATCGCTTCATCTTGATTCAAGGCACCATCTACTCTTATAGGAACAGAATTCACAATGATGTGAGCACAGTACTAAATGCTATACACAAGCTTGATTTCTAGTCACTTTCCAAATGTCATCAGTATTTTTCTAGCTCCTTGACTCTTCTCCAGTAGTATTGCACATGGTAGACCCAAGGCCATTTAATACATCTTCTCCATCCAATCAAATTTCATTGTGGATCCAAGGCCATTTCATAATTTTCTCCCTCTAGTCAACTACTCTTGGAAGGGAGAATTACCTTATCAAAGTTACCCTTTTAAAAATGGAGCCTTAACTTATTTACCTAAATCCTCATTATAATGAGAACAATATCAAAACTCCTTGGCATGACCATAAAACTCTGCTTAGCTTGACCCCACCACTCAAAACTCTCTCAGCCTCCCAAGCACACTGGCTCATTTCCTTCCCTTCAAAGTGACAGCAAGTCCACATTCACTTTGAAGCCTCAGCTCCCAGAAGCACTTTACAAACTGGCTCTGATCAGTCAATGACTTGTACATGCAATTTTTCCTCCCTTGACTCACAACCAGCAATTAAAATTCCATAAAGATGTTGTGGGTCTTGTCCACATTCTGCCCAGAGTCTGGCAGACACTGACCATGCAGTAGGTATGTATTGCATGAAAGGATGTGTGTGTGTGTGTGTCTGTGTATAAGAGAGAGAGAGGGTTTGTGTGATTACTGTTACCCCAGATTGTTGCAGGTTCCAACCTGACCACAGCTATGCAGGACCGCTTCTCCAAAACAAAAAATGAGGAGACGGGTGGGTCCAAGAGGTTTTTTTAAAAATCATAAGTAAATGGGCATTTTCTCCATCCAAAACAAGCCCCTGATAGTAAATATGCACAAAAAATATTTTCTTTGTTAACTCTAACTTATTTCTATATTTACTAACTCAACCCCCCCCCAAAAAATAGGATACAAGAAAAAAATCTAAAAAGTATATCAAAATTGGGCATTTTGTAGTTTTATTTCCATGTCAGCATTGTAGTTTGCATGAATGGAGAAGTGCTTTTGTTTGTTACAGATTCTGAGGCATGAATAGTAGTATAAAGTTTGAGAGCAGAAGCAAAGAAAAATGCAAAATAACCCCCAAAGAGACTTGGAAGTTTCAAGTGTTGTTTTGCTTTGGTTAGGGGTTGAGTATTTTCATTCTTTATGATATGTTTTACTCAGATTGTAAATACAAAAGTAGAACTACCATGAAAGACAAAACTCCCTGTGGAGAGAAGAAATGGATTAATGCTCAAGAGCACTTGCAGCTCTTGCAGAAGACTGGAGTTCAGAGCCCAGGGCCATAACCAGCAGCTCATAAGTGCCTGAAACACCAGCTCTAAGGAATCTGTCGATGTTCTCCCAGTTTCTATGAGCACCAGCATACACACACACACACACACAGACACACACACGCCACACATACATGGAACATAATTCTTAAAAAGTAAGACTTCCTTTATGAAACTTTGAAACTTAAAGTTCCATGCAATGTCACTGAAATAACAATAAGAATACTATTTTATGCATACATACTAAAACCTTTATGGTTGATGTATACCACCCCAAATGATGAAATATGTTTTATTGTTCAGAGAGAAAAAAATCAGGATGTGAGTTCAAACTAACATCACTCAATAAGCTTGTAAGCTTATTGTAAGTCATGTAATATTTTCATTCTTGAAACATGAACACCACTGAGGAATATCCTCATGTCATACGTGCTAGTGTCTGGCCCACCAAAAGAAGCACTGTTGGCCCCATGTCCTGTACCTTGCAGCCACTATGAGTCCTTGTCTTCATCAGTGGTGTGGTGGTACATAGTTCAATGGCTTCCGGCTCATGGAAGATGACTGCTGGTATAGGTTCCTTTTTCAGGGTTAGGACATTCAATTTAGACTTCAGCATGGTCTGGAAGTGCTGAAAACACAGAGAAACAAACCAAGAGAGTTACATCACTTGGATACATATCTTGATTCAGTTGGGCATAAACTCAGTAGTAGCAAATTTTTGTCTTAATATTCTGTTGTAGTAAGAAAGGCCAAGAGATATTTATTCAATGGAGAGGTCAAAATCCTACAAAGATTGAACTAAAATGAGGCTGTGCAGAATAGCCAGTCCTCAGCAGAGACATGAAGACGCAAGTTTATATCACCCAAGACTTAATTATCTGAGAAGCTTTTCCAAGGTATCATGGGTATTGATTCTTAGAGACAAGATCTGTGTAGATTCAGCATCACCAGGAAGGATGATCATGGAAGGACAATATAGAGGCTCAATAGAACAAAGCTCATGAGACTTCTTTTCCCTACCCTGCCCAACTCTTTCCTGAACTGGCTGTAGGACTTTGGGAAATTTTCTACTTAGCAGGCTATTCTTCTCTGTTGTCTCCAGCTAGGATTCCAGGGACATACGCTTTGCATAGGCAGCCCAATGCATCAGTTTTGAAAACTGCTTCAAATGTGACTGGGGTTTGACTGTTTCTATCTGTGCATTCTAATTTCCTTTCTGTTGCTGTGAAAAAAAAAATGCTTTGGCTAAAAACAACTTCGGGAGGAAAGGGTTTATTTCTGCCTCCAGGTCACAGTCATCACTCAGGAAAGTCAGGACAGGAACTCAAAACAGGAATCCAGAGGCAGTAACCATGGAGGAATATTGCTTACTGGCTCACTGCCTTGTTCACATCCAGCTACCTGGGGAAGGGACCACCCACAGTATGCAGGGACTCCCACATCATTCATTAATCAAAACCTTTCCTCACAGATGTGGCCACAGACCAATATGGTTGAGGTACTTCCTCAGTGGAGGTTTCCTCTTCCCAGGTGACTTTAGATCCTGTCAAATTGGCAATAGAAACTAACCAGGACATTATGCCACCCAGCCTCAGGTATTATCTTCATTTAGACTATTGAAACAGCATCCAACTATTTCCTTCACCTCTGACATGCTCCGGATATAGAGTATCACCACGCGGAAGCCAAGGGGATTTGTCTAAACTCCAGCTATAGTACAATATGTCACGCCTTTACTAAAACTCTCCCAAGTATCCCCATCTCATTATAGAAAAAACCCAAAGCTCTTACTTTACCTGCTGAAGTTATTCATAATTCAGAGATCCACTATCCCCCTGGTTTTATCTCTCAACCTAATGCTTTTAATTATGGTTCTAGCCACTGTGGCCTCCTTAGTGTTTGAGAACACACCAAAGACACACATATTCTGGAACTTCAAAACATGCAGCTTCTATCCAAGGCTGGCTTCTTCACTTTCATAAATGCCTTTGTCCCCTATCCTTACCACCAGGACCATCTAAAAGTATACACACACACACACACACACACACACACACACCACTAACTTCATGAGCATGCAACCTGTGCAACACATAGAACACCATGCTCAAGAGAGGAGTTCTTGCTTGGCTTAGCACTCCTGTTTCAAGATTCTTGATAACTGTAACTTTGGATTTGTGTTTTGCAAGTGAACATGGTCATTCAGGAGACAATGACAACATGGACCTCCTCAATCATCACTTCCCACTTATATAAGTGATGAGCCATGGCTAAGAATTCTGATGGGACCAGATACTCTTGAATGTATCAAGAGTCAACGTGAATATAAGACAAGATGTTAAGCCTGTGACTGGGGAAGCAGGGACACAGGGAGCCCAAGTGCAAAGTCAACTGTATTCTAGAAACACAAGGGATCAGGGGCCCTCTTCTTTCTTTAGCACCCCTTCATTGTATCTGGCAACAACCTACACTGAAATAAAAACACAGGAGGGAGAGGTGGAGCAATCACAGTTACTGTCCCCTGTGGTCCTTCCCTGCTCATCGCCTGGCCCAAGGTGAAGCCTGATGTGCACATACCAAGAAATAAAACTCAAGCGAGCAGGACAGTGTCATGCAGCACCTTCACTCTTTGAACAAAAGCAAGCCACAGGCTCAACTGGGAAATTCCAACTGCACAGGCTGTTACTCTACCCCTACCTTTACACTGAAGATGGGTACCACAGAAGCTCAGGGCAGTCATCTAAAGCCTCCGTTTTGTTTTGTTTTGTTTTGTTTTGTTTTTGTTTTTTTTTTCTTTCCTTAGAGCAGAAGTAAATAGTAAGTAATGGTAAGAAATCACTGGGATGTTCCAGAGAGAGATTCATGAGCCAAGCAGAAAGCTTTGTTTTTCTGTACTCTGATTGGGAGACACTGAATTTGCATTTTGCACTGCAGCCTGCATATTATGTAGTAGCTTTGCACACATACACCCAGCACTGTCTCTCCCTCCCCTTACTTTATTACTCTTACCATTCACTACACCTTATCACCACTATATGATCTTGTAGGTGTTTTGTTTATCTGAGTCTTTCCCAAGAACATAACAACCACAGATGCACAAGCTGTTTAACTCCATGAGGGGCCTAAGATGGTGCCTCAATAATCACAGAGATCCGAGGAACATTCTGGAAGGCAGGGAAACTAATGTGTTGAAAGGAAAATGCAAACCACAGATCTAAAGCTATGACCTCTAAATCAGAGTTCATAAACTTACCTTCTTGCTACCTTATCCTAGTTGTTCTTCCTGGACATATATTCATATATATGCATATATGTGAATATGAATATATACATGTATGTATGTATATTCATTTAAGAATAAACTTTCCCAAACAGTTCTTTAACTACTTCATAGCTCATATAGAGGTGCAGAGGTTTGGGAATTCATACCATATCAAAGTATGTATTTCAAGAGTCTTCAAATGGGGCTCTGGTGGGCAGATATACATACCCACTGTCCACCACAGTACCCAGTTATTGAACCTGACATTCACCTGGGTGTTGCTATGAGGGTGTTTTGCAGATGAGACTGAAGGCTTGAGGTAAAGGAGACTGTTCTAGATACTCCAGGTGGGATTATCTAATAAAGGACTTTTAAGAGTTGAGTTCAGGCTTCCCTCATGAGGAAAAATATGTCTACTGTGGACTAGCTCCAAATCTGAGAGTCCTAGCTTATCCTTCCCGACAGCCTGCCTTACAGCCTCAACTTCTGGCTTTCCTAGCCAGCTCCCACGACTGCAGACATGAATTCCTCTGTGGAGGATCTATGTATCCTACTAGTTCTGAGTCTCTAGTTGAAACCTGATGGATGCAGCCATCTTTTAGGAGACAAAATGACCAGGTTAGGTAGTGTGTTAAATAGAAAAAGAGGCTTGTCCTTACATTTCCTAGAGTGTTAGGTAGATGAGCTGGAAGGGGAGAGGATGGGAGGGGAAGGGACTGCAAAGGAAGGGAAGGGAGGGAAGGAGAGGAGGAGAGGGGGAGGGGACTGAAGGGGAGAGGAGAGGGAGAAGGAAGGAAGTTTCCATGTTAAGCTGAAAGCCTCTGTGCGGCTCCTAATTGATGAGTTCTGTCCACTGGGAGTGCAGGTGTGTGGAGGGCACCAGGGAGGTTACTAAGCAAGAGAACAAAACTAGAGAAAGAACTGCTTCTCAGAAAGAAACCAGGGCAGAAAGATGAAGAAAACAAATAGAAGAGACACTGGGGAGATCAAGTATCAAGTGAGGGTCTGTTGCTGCCAATCTCCTCTACCATGATGCAGCGAGACTCCGGGAGCTCCAAGAAGCCATTGATCCAGATTGTCATTCTGACTCCTGACACACAGGGAGTTCCTAAAATGACACTAACTGTGGGCTCCTTTTCAGGAAGGTGAGATAGAACACTACCTAGAAGTTCTACTGCCATTATAACAGGATCAAATCCCACAACTATAAGCTCAGTGCCAGCACACAGGAGATTAGAGGTTGCTAACAGGTCTCTTTGCTGACCTGTGATTAACTGACAAGGTAGCAAAATAAAAGAAACAGTTAAAAAGAAAGCCCAAGGCCTGAAGAGATGGCTCAGTGATTTAGGGTAGTTGCAAGTACTCCACCAAGCCAGAGAATTTACAAGTGTGTGTGCGTGCACACACACACCACCCAAGTCTTATTATTTTGTAGTGCTGGAGATTGAACCCAGGGTCTTGAGCTTGCTGCTTTTTCAGGGGACCCAAGTTCAGCTTCTAACGTGCACATCATGGCTCACAAACACCTGGAACTCAGCCCCAGATGATCTGAGGCCTCAATAGACTCCACGGCACCACCTGAACATTTTATTTATATAAAAAAATTAAATATAGTTTAAGGTAGACAAGACAAAATTAGGAGCAAGAAAATAACTTCAGGGTACTATGTTGTGCAACCTCAACCACCTCACTCTTCAGAGCTTGGGCGTATACAGCCAGCCAGGCTCAGGTCAAACTGTCACTCACTGATTCATGCCACTCACCCCTGACTGTGCTCAGATAAATGTGGGGTCAGCACAACAGGTGAAGAAATAAAACATCAGTCTCTGCTGGGAGGCTCCTGGCAGTTTGTAGAGACTCAAATCACATGACAAATGCCCAGCCTGGGTGACCTCTTTAGGACAGATCATAAAAGCTAAGATAATAAAATGAAATAGAGAAAATAAATCTATAAATAGAAATGCTGTCTCCTGGGAGTGTTGTCCTCTGTATCTTCTATGGAAAAAGGGGAAGATAAAGAAGGGAAATAATGTAAATACTTGATGAGCTGTTGTGTCTGCAGTGATTCATCCTTTATGGCGAATTAACATTGAATCTAACCTTGACCTTGCTGTTACACATCTTAGGTACAACTGTGAGCGTGGGAGTTATTTCTGCTAAGAGCACATGGCTGCTCCCTTCCCAGGGGGAAACTTCACCAACATTTATATCCTGGGTTTTGGAAAATGTGCATGTCATAGGCTGACAGGGTGCCACACATCCATGTCTACAAGCATTGGTTCACAAGAAACTCAAGATTGGTTGAACAGACTCTTCTAGGAGATAAACACAAATGGCTGCTAGAAAGGTAATGCAACCTTATCCCT